CGGCATTGCCCCACAGGCCCCCCCAGCTTCCCCAAGAATCCCCAACCACCACCGCCGTGCCCAGCAGCCCCGCCCGACCCCGCACCACCACCTGCGCAAACGCGTCAATTGCGTTTACCCTCGTTCACTGAACGCGCGTTCAGTGCGTTCATAAGTTGAAAGCGGAACGCGCGTTCAATGAATGCTCGGTAACACAGCACCTGGTGGGTCCCCCACAGCGTCGGAGCTGCGCTGTCCCTTCCAACTCCATCTCCATTTCCTCCCTATCAACCCTTTGTCTTGATCCTGACGGACCGCCATCCCGGCGGGTCTGTTACATGGAGGGGTCAGAGTGGAGGGAAAGGAACTATCAAATACAATGATCCACCAGTTCATACAAAACCACATCATTAGCCCAGTGGAACAAATCCTCTAACAAAATGCATTTTTTTCGCAGGTCCATCATCCATATCTTTTTCCCAGTGAGCTGCAATTTTCAGCATTTGATAGTTCAAACTTTGTGACGTGGATACCGTTTTTCAAGTTTTTGTGCCTTATTCCAGCTCACTGTGATTCGTTGGCCCACGATAGCCCCTCGCTGGCCTCAAACTTTGTCTCGCCGTCCAACAAGCGATTAGGGTTCGCTTACGTGCGGCATGAAAAAGAGGAGGTAGCAGCGCAGATATTGCGATTGCAATTTTTCGACTCTGACTCCGATCTTTGTGAGACACATAAGCACGGCAACAGTCGCAATCCCAATCCTGCGTACAAGCTTTCTGGCCAGGAAAGCACATCGGAAGGTCCCACGCTGTGAAACCGCGCGCTGATTGAGCGAGGGGTCGGAGCTCAAATTTTTGAGCTCCGCTCAATCCCGCGCTCAAAAGTGCTTGAGCGGGGTTGAGCGGGCGAGGGAGTATTTGTTTCCCCAAAACAAAATGAGCAACAAAAAAAACCAAAAATACAGGGTCGTAGATCGTTTTGAGATCTACAACCTTGTATTTTTTATTTCAATTTTCGAAGTCCTTCTGTATTTTTAAAAAATCAAAAACATAAACAAAAGGAAAAAAAAAAAACATGAAATGGGTGTTTTTTTCATTTTTTTTCACAGAGATTTTTTTGCAGGCAAAAAATTTACAAAAAAAAAAAACAAAAAACATTCTTGTAGATATTTTGGAGATCTATGACCCCATATTTTTGTTTTCATTTTTTCAAAGTTCGTATATATTAAAAAAAAACGAAAAACATAAAAACGAGAAAAAAAGACACCCACACATGAACACACACACACACTGGCACACACACACACACACACACACACGCACACACA